CCCCCCCCCCCTGCTCCCTGCCACAGGGGCATGCAGCATTTTTCGGCTATGAAAACGTTGTCGCATATTAACGTAATTAGTTCATGCGCTCCATAGAACCGGCTGACCTAGGGGGTGGGGGGGCGAGGGACCTGCTATGTGCAACACATACCAGTGCAACCCTCATGCTGGGCGTTTGCGGTGTTTGGGAGTTGTGGCCAGAATTATGATGTCCATGCGGCCATGGATGCCCCCTCACCCCCCATGGGCCAGGGGACAACGGCATGTGTGCCTGTGCCGGGCCTCCTTAGCCCATTAAACCCTGCCCAATGAGCAGCCGTTGCGTGCGTGTTTTACATATGAATATGGCCAGGATACAGGACCCAGTAGCCAGTGGCCAGTGGCCAGTAGCCAGGACTCAGAGCAGGACCAGGCCTGGTGTGTGTGTTAATTGAAACGTGATTGTGTTGACGGTGGTCCGGGTTTAGGGGGGGGGAGGACTATTCCGAGGCTTAGGCATCTGCGCTTCCTTTTTTGACACTTGCAATTGTCATTCCTCCGGGCCTTCTCCCTGCACCGATCCGTAAATAGTTTCGCATTTAAATTTTGCAGCAATATAATTTACTTTGATGCTGTTGGGGGGCTTTGGGGAATTGAATTTGCACGCACAAGCACAATTGAATTTGAATGCAAAGTGGCTACGATATCGAATGCATTATTAATTTCCCACACAGGGGCTGCCCCCCATTTTTCACTTTCGCCCCCAAACCACTCGCACAGACACGAGTATCCATGATGATGATGATGATGATGATGTTGATAGCAGAAAGAGAATTTTGAATGTCCATTTAATGTCATTAATATCTGGGTCTTAAGGCGCCCCAATGTGTGTGCGTCTAAGCCCCTGAATGTCCTTTTCTTATCTTAACTTCCATTTGTGGTTGGGTAATTAGAGCGGGGTCGGCGATTCAGGCGATTACGATAAGCCACAGTGAGAGAGAGCATCGGTTAAGCTATGATATGATTGAGCGCATTACCGTATTATCATTGGGCATGCCCCAATGCCAGGGATACCTGTGGGGTGGCACTCTTTTGCAATCATGCCTCAAATTGTTCTAGCTGGAATTTCCATTGATTGCATTGTAAAGTGAGCTGCAACTGAATGAAATCAATAACTTGGCCACCAGACCGTGCCATAACTGCTGACCGGCCCCCCGAGCGGCGCCCCCGGCTTCTTGACACGCCCCGTCACAGAATTGAGGCCATGTCATTTGTTTAGTTTGTTGCCTCAATTATTTAGCAGGGCCCAGGCCCCAGACCGAAACGAGGCCTGTCCAGACAGGACAATCTCTCTCTCTGTCTCGCTTTGGTTCTGGGTCCTGGAGTCCTTGCGGTGTTTATCCAATTACATAAATTCTGTGTGACAATTTCGATTTCGATTTTATTTTATTCAAAAGCTAGCTTGAAGCCTTTCAAGTCCATCAGGGTCTCTCCGTGCCATAAAATATTTATTGCAAGCAAATAAATACCACACACTGACACGAACAGACGTCGTTATGGTAATTAATTTCAATGCAATGCAACATGAGACATGGCAAATCTTATTTATGCGAGAGCCTGTCTGCCTGTCTGTCTGGGCATTGGGATTTCGCATTTCTGATTTAGGATTTTGGATTTTGGACTTCTTGCTAATTGATAATGGAGGGAGCCCCAAGAAAAAGGGTCACCACCAGAACACCAATAAGGAAATCAAAGACATGTGTAGCACAGCCAGGCAACCGCAACAAAATCAATTGCCTGTCGAGGAGCCCGACTCTGTGGCACACACACAATTTTTGGCCATATCCATTTCAGGCATGGCTGTATGGCCCAGCAGGCGGCCTACGATATACATACTCGTACACAGGAAGGACAGCTCAAGTCAACTTGCGGCTCATGCAAAATTTAATTTTAATTTCCACTGAGCAAATGTTGCAAAAGTGAGAACAAGGCAATTTCCTTTGCAGCCCCAACCAGCACCACCAGCGCAGCGCCTAGACATGCCCCAACGCCCATGGCAGCCTGGCTGGATGGGGGGGGACGAGTTACGTTACGGTATACACATTTTAACCACTTGACTGCATTGTGGCTTTGGCTTAAATGCCGGCCAGAAGTCAAACACAGGCCAAGAGAATCGTACAAGTTTTGGATATGCCCTTCCCCTCTCTCGCTCTCTCTCTCTCTCCCTGTCCGCCTTCCTGGTCTGGCAGCCGTAGTGTGTTTTTGCCAATTGACATGCAGACCTGCCTGGCAGCCGTAAATCGGTATAAATAATTCATTATTGCCGCCTCGATGCGCATAAATCAAGTCGTTTTGGCCCTGGCCCGACTCTTCCAGAGCAGCCACACAGCCACACACAACTCACAACTCCCTCTTTGATGCGCGTTCCGGCTCTAAACATATTTAAAGTTCCTAAAAAGAGAAGAAAATACAAAAAATGTACTTGGAGATGCCGGGGATTGAACCCGGGGCCTCTCACATGCAAAGCGAGCGCTCTACCACTGAGCTACATCCCCGTTGAGCGTTTCGCGGTCCAAAGTCTACAAGGTGTTGTGAATGGCAGGGCTAAAGGTGAGAGGGGTGCACAAGAATTTTGTATATCTAATAAGTATATACTAGAAACAACTGAAATAAACGAAATGAGGAGAGTTTGTTCATGTTTTATTCCGCACCTGAGAGACAATCTGTCTGCGCCTCGCCACTTGTCGGCCGCGTGTCTTGTGCTTGCATTTAGCCCTTCGATGTCCATCGGGGGATGTAGCTCAGTGGTAGAGCGCTCGCTTTGCATGTGAGAGGCCCCGGGTTCAATCCCCGGCATCTCCAAGTACATTTTTTGTCTCTTTTTTCCTCTATTCTGATGTATTTTCTTGATGCTTGTTGGGCGACGTTTTCGCCACGAAAAATATTCCGATTTCGAGATCACAATCGATCGCATATTTTCGCTTCTTCGTAAAATCGATAAAGTGATCCATGTGTACACCAGGGGCGCAGGAGAGAGAAACAGAGCTCTCTCCCACTCTCCCCAGATATGAACAGACCCGCATGATCGTTTCAAAGTACAAACAAAACGTAAAATTTCAAATGCCACGCGCGAGAAAGGGATGGCCAGCGCTGCTGGGCGAGAGCACGACAAAGAACAGAGCGAGACAGAGATAGACAGCTATGCGATTGGCCAGCGGATTCGAATAGGTTCCGCTCGCCGGCTGCTCGACGCTGTGCGCCTGGTACTTTACTTAAAAAGATTGAACGATTTTTGCACGGTTTGAGCACAAAAAGTTCATTTGAGTTTACCCGTTCAAGTTTTCGTTCCACTTAAGATCTGAAAAGAGCCGAAAGGGCGTTGCCGCTTGTAAATGTAAATTCAAGGGATTCCCCATATGTTTTCCACATCACTTCTCTTCGATATCTGGGATGTTCGGGGTGTTCGTTCTCTTTCATTGGGTGCGAATGGAATGCAATTTAAATCATTTATTACGAAATCCCCGGGAGGATTAAAAGAAACTTTTTTATTGCAGGTGCACGAAACTTTTGCCAAATCTCTCGACAGCCTCGCCCCAGCCGCCATTGCATTTTCGCTTCTTACTTATTTTTGTTCTGCATTTTGTTTTTGTTGTTTTGCATATAAATTTGTTGGCTGCCAGAGGTATTCTGCCTAATCCGGCGACGTTTCTTGGGGAGTTGCATTTAATTCCGCGCCATTTCCTATAAATATTCATGCAAATTGGAAAAGGGCTAAGCGCACACCACACCACCCCCCGCACAGAAGGCCCCACGAAAGATAAACAGGAAAACAGAGCAGGTGGCGCCCTTCACTGGCCTTAATTAAATGTAAAAGGAGTCGCTCCTTAAATGCAATCGGACTCCTAAGTGGCAACTTATTAGCAATCTCATAATTGCCTGTGCTCTCTCCATCCCTGTCTGCCACATGTGCCCGGGGCAGGGGCAGGGGCAGGGGCTGGGGCAGCGGCAGAGCTTGAATGGTGTGCTCCTCCATCGGTCGCAACTTTTTCAAAAACTAATTAAAACGATAAGAGCAACGAAGCAGAGCGTCGAAATGTCGCCAAAGAGCCCCCGAAAAAAGCACCAACAGAACGGAACTTTGACTATTTCGCCTCGATGTTTATCTGGAAGATATGGTTAAATTTGCATTGGCATTGCCACTGTGCACAGTGCATACTACCATTCGCCTTTGTTTGCCGCCCCATCCCATCCCATCCCGTCCCGTTCCACTGCCACATGTGCAAGGATGCGATGCGGGGGCTGGAAGTCAATTTACTTCAATGGTCATGCGGAAATTAAATAAATTCCATGTGCAGGTGGAAACCAACACCCACCCGAAAATGACAGTTGTCAGCTGTCGAACCTATGACACAAGTACAGTTGACCGCCGCACACCCACACATTTCCAGCATTGCCATCTATCAGATGGATTTCATTATTTCGGCATGTTTTGATTACTTTTTCAAGGCAACTCTGTGCCACTGTATCACTTTCTGCAGGCTCAGTAACGTAAGAAGAGGCTTCGCTTATTGTTCTACGAAATCCGATTTCGTATGTTTTGGGGAAAAAAACGATTTTCCGCATATGGCTGGTGAGAGAGAGGCTGTGCCTACCAGCCATTGCCCAAATTGATTTCCATACAGGTAACGCGTTCAGTTGGAAACCACAGTGGCTACCGCTGATAAGGCGCCTCCTGCCTCGCCCCCAGCTACGGGGGGACAGACAATGGGATTTAATACGGTTGGGGGGTGTGTATAGAATTCAATGGAGTGAAGGGCCCCAAAGCATTGAACCAAGGGTATCGAAGGTAAAACATGGGTAGAAAAAACAAAGGTAAAATCTGAAAGCCAGCTAAAAGTATGCTACACCAATGTTGAAACGATCTCCAGCTCAGCGCCAGCGCTCACCTGGGTTTCCGAAGAGGGTCGGGTCTCACCTGCGGAGGTCTCTGAGGCCGAAATCAGTTACGAGTCGCCCGCGAAAGCGTTAACAAGTTCCCAACGGATCGAGCGCGCAACAACCACCACCAACCACTCCACTCCACTCACTCTCCCTCTCTCTGTCTCTCGCGTGCGGAGCTCTCTCGGGTCGTGGAACATCAACAGTTATTTTTACTACACCGCCGAGAGTGTGTGTTTCGTGTGCTTCGCTTCTCTCGGTCGCGTCGCTGCCAGCAGCTCCTTCATTAAAAGATAAGCAAGGCTTAAAAAGCAACAACAACGCGTGTGTGTCGTGGCTGTGTGACAGCGTTTGCATACAAAAAGCAACAGCAACAGCAGCTTCAAGCAGAGCAGCAGCCAGCAGTAGCAGCAGCAGCAGAAGAAGAGGAGGCGAAAGAAGAGCAGCAAAAACAAGCGTACACTGAAAGGGAATCTATTTGCCTGAACAAACGGTAAGTTGTGATGAAATTTGCACTGGTGTGTGGTCGTGGTCAGCCTTGATACAGTTGTAGAAGCATTGGCCAGCAGGCACGATCTTGAGACAGTTGGAGGGACATTGAGTTTCGATGAGTTTCAATGAAACATTTTCTACCGATGGTTTTTAAGCCTAGAATGCGCCAGAATATATAAAATTACGTCATTAGGCTTATTTATGATGTCGTATAACCGTATATCCCATCCACAAAATACTTGTTAACGACTTAATGCTGTTAATAAAAACCCATTTAGCTTGAACACTGGCCAAATTGAAAGCAATCCAAATTGCATTTTCAATAACTAAAATTAAATAAACAATTCGCACACGCAAGCCAAAGAGGAAGCGCAGGCAGAAAGAGAGAAGAGGCCAGGGAGAAAGGGAGGCGGGAATCTCTGGACTGCCTTTTAAACGCCATAAATAAATAAACGAAATTCAAATTAAAATTCATTTCTATTTGTGGCACAGCTCGAAAAAGTGTGGCCCTGCGCTAACTGTTTTCGCACTGCACTCGCCGCCGCCACTGCCACAAGCCTTACATAATAATTGTTTTGATTTATTGCCCTCTCTGTCTCTCCCGCTCTGGCAAATTGCATAAGGCCGTTTTCAAATGCGACATGCAAATTAAACAATAGCGGTAGCGGATTGTGTTTTTAAAAAGTTTTTATTTTACTTCGAACTTCACTGATATAGATTTAAGTAGAGGGTCACAAAGGAATTCCGGGCCAAGGGATTGCGCGATCTTAATATTTAGCTAGACTTTGCGGTGTCGCTGCTGGATCAAGACTGATTTGAACTTTCTGATCTTTGCATCGTTGATCCCTTTCGGGAATCGTTTTTCTATAAACATTTCAATTGATTTCGCCATCCCGAGTATTAGATTTCGTCATCCAAAGAGAGAACTGTAAAAGGCCTAAAGTGCAGGATCTGCAGAAAGCCGGGAGTGAGATTGTTTATGAGAAGCCGGGTGTGGGCAAACATTGGTTTTCCATTTAGGCGAGTGTCAAAGAATGGGATTGCGGCGGGGGCGCTTGAGATTGTACATCTTAGAAATCAATTAGGCGGAGGCCCAAGATTGAAATTGTTTTCGTTTTGGAAAACCAAAGATTGTTTACAACTCGTATAAGAGCTCAATGGAATTGGGTACGTTAACTCCCCCCATTCTTAAATGTTTCGTCCCGATACATTTTGAAGTTCTGATAGAGCTCTAATTTCTTCTGACAGTATTTGAATGTTGCTTTCCACTATTTCTTCTGACGGTATTCTTATTGATTTAATAAGTACAAATTTGGTTAATTTATAGCAGAAGTAAAATAACATTAACAATATCAAAATGATTAAAAATAATGTTGTTAATGGTAAGGCCGTATTACCTAATGTTATAAGGGGATTTAAAATATTAACATTATCAAAAGAAAATTGCTTATCATTTGATTGTATATAATCAACTAATTCAAAATCGCTATATCTATGATGCGATATATATTTTAGAATTTTACCCTTATCATTTATGTGGCTTATATTATTTATTACAATTGTGTTGTTGAATATAAGGAGATACGATCCTAACAAAGTAGTATTGTCTACGATATTTTTGCCTGAAACTAATATGGCACCATCCTGAATGATGTCTATTTCTTTGTTTTTTTTCCCTTTTTTTAGTGCAGTTGGCTTTAAAGCCATTAAGTAAATTGGTGAAACAGGTACTCTTTAAATTTATTTGTGCGTAATTGTTAAAAGTTTCACTTTTAAAATTATTCATTAAATAGTATTTCTCCTTACATTCACAAACTTTTTCACTTATAACTAACATTCCATCATTTTGTGAGATGGCTCTTGCATGGTAAAACTTGCAAATATCTTTAATTTGAGGATATTTTATGTAAATGATTATTAAATCTGCATTTCGAATTATTTTAACCGTTGCAATGTCCAACAGATCAGACAGTTCAACATTATGTTTTTCATGCTTATAAATGTCCTCTATTTCGTTTTTATTTAAAATTTTTGTATTGAAAATGTTTACTTTTAAGAGGGTTATGGTATCAACTAAATTTAGTAGGTCAAAAGTTATTAATTTTAAACGATGCTTTCTCAGTATCGTTTCTTCATTGAAGATGACATTCTTTAATGAATTTGATAGCAATTCAATTTCTTTGAAAAATTTGGAATTTATTACAAATTGTTTATTATTATTTTCAGTTAATTCATTTACTTTATTTTGTATTTTCAAAAAGTCGTCATGATCAGGGCTGCCTGCTATCCATTTCCAAATGGTACCTAATTCATTTATTCCCCTTTCTTTCCGTTTTGGAACTAATTCTGAAATCATTAATTTTAATAGACTTAAGTCCATTGATATTTCCCACTCATCGTCTGAATTAATTGATTTGTTGACATATTTGGATTCTTTATCAATTATCTCTCTATAAAAACTCAAATTAGTAATATGGAAAAGTTCAGCGTATGTTTCATAAGTGTAAACGTCTCTGTCGTCTTTGAGCAATAGATAGTCACTATGCGTATAGTCAATTACTTCCGCAGTCGTCAATATAACAAAAGTCAGTATTAGTATATTCGCATACATTTTCTGGAAAAAATATTTAATATTTGATGTTATCTTTATGTATAATTCTGTTTCTATTGTTGATTATAATTTTATTCGGTCGATTTTCCTTAACTACCTGCTTTTTGTATCGGGATTGAAGTTTATTTCTTTCCCCGAATTTCTTTTCATAGACTACTTCTCCTATTTTATAATCTTTTTCTCTTCTATCTTTGTTATGTATCTTAAGCATTTTGGTCTGAGCTTCCTTAAGTAATATTGGATTATGTTTGTGTTCTATTTTGTTATACAATATGTCATATGGCATTTGATTGGTCGTTGAATGTATCGTCAGGTTATATTTCAGTGCCGCCCTTATTATTATTTCTGAATAATCTGTTAGATTTAGTTCATCCTTGATGCACCGCGCTATTTCTGTTAGTGTGGAATGTACCCTTTCTACCTGACCATTTGAGGTGCTGTGTCTGGGATCAGCATAATAAATAGTTAAGTTACTTCTTTGTATGAATGATCTAAATTGTGCTGAAGTAAAGCTTGGTTCGTTGTCAGTCATTAATGATGTTGCTAACGGAAAGTGTTGTAAAATTTCCATTACCTTATTTTCAATGTTTAATTTACTTTGAATTTCCTTGACCACCAAGTATTTGGAATAAGAATCTATACAAGTTATGAATGTTAGGTTTTGGGCATAGTATATGTCTAAGTGTAATTGATCTCCTTCTTTTGCTGGAATGGGAGCTTCCCCAATTGGAATTTTTACAGGGTGTCTCCGATATTTGTTTTTGTTACAGATCTCACAATTTTTTATATATTCTTTTAATTTTTTGTGCAGGTTTGGCCAATAATACAGCTTAGTTATTTGTTTGTAATTTTCGTCTAGTCCTCTATGGGCTCTGCAATGTGTTTCTTCTATAATTATAGCTTTATCTTCTGAATTTACTACATCTTGGAGGAACTTTCTTGTGAAGAGAAATTTATTTATGAAGTTTTCCTTTAGCTTATTTTGGATAAGGTATAAATCTTCTAAAGTGCAGTGTATTCCTGTGGTTAAGTGAGGCTGAATAAATTCTTTTAAAATGATTAGCAGATTGTCAACCGTATCAAATTCAATAATATGTCGGGTATTTTCATAAACTCTTACTAACTCATGAACTGTGAATCTCCCTTGCGCTAATAGTAGCTGCTGTTTAAATTGGTTTAGAGGCTTGCTAGTCTCTTGAATGACGTTTTCGAAACTACTCTCTGCTGAATGCTGAGTATTTATGTCTGATTCTGATTCTGTCTGGTCGACATCACTATCTGTCATATGATTTATTTTAATCCGAGATAACGCGTCCGCTACTACGTTAGTTGAGCCTGGCTTATAAATGATTTTTGGTGTGAAACTTTCTATGAAGTAATACCAACGTTTCATTTCAACATTTGGATTTTTTTGCGACATTGCAAAGGACAAAGGTTGGTGATCTGTATGTATTTCAATTCCACTCACTCCGTATAAATAATTTCGCAAATTTTTTAATGCCCATACAATAGCTAATAATTCTTTTTTATTAGTAGCATATAATTGCTCGGTTTTACTTAAAGTTTTAGAAATAAATGTTATGGGATTCCCATCTTGCGACAAAACTGCACCTATTGCTATGTCCGATGCATCTGTGGTTAATGTGAATTTTTTATTGTAATCTGGTTGTACTAATTCAATATGTGCTATTAAACTGTCCTTTAAATTATTAAATGCTCCAATTGCTGGTTCATCCAGCTGTATTAATGCTTTCTTGGATGCCCTTCGTGAAACTTTCCCATTTACTCCGCTCAGATATTTTGTTAAAGGTTTGGCAATTGTGGCATAATTTCGGACAAATTTTCTGTAATACCCTGTTAGTCCTAAGAAGCTACGTAGCTCTCTGATATTTTTAGGAATTGGATAGTTTTGTATTGTGGAGATTTTGTCTGGATCTGTTTTAATGATATTTTGGGAAACAATGTATCCCAGAAATTTGGTTTCCAATTGAAAGAATTTAGACTTTTCAAGTGAAATTTTCATGTTAGCGTTTTGCAATATCTGAATTATATGAATTAGATCTTTATAATGTTGTTCTATAGTTTTTGAAAATATTATTATATCGTCCATATAAACGTGACAAGTTTTCCCAACTTGTTCTCTAAGTATATCGTCCATTGCCCTTTGGAAAATTCTGGGAGCGTTCGTCAATCCCATAGGCATTCTTAGAAATTCATATTTGCCGTTATTTATGGAAAAAGATGTTTTTTCAATATCTGATTCCCTCATTAAAATCTGATAGAAACCTGACTCTAAGTCAATGGCCGAGAAATATTTCGCTTTACCTAAATTGGCAAGGATTACTGAAGGATCTTGCATAGGGTATCTATCCGGTATAGTGTTTTCATTA